AATTCCCAATGAGAAATGTAATTGTGTTGTATACCTACAATGTACCAATAAAAGAATTTAATACAAAAAAAAATAAAAAAAAAAGAACCTGATTTAAAAAAATAATAATTTTAATTGACAAGTAAAAGTTGTATGTTTTTATGACATATAACTTCATGTCTTGATATATGTATACATTGTGGAATAGCTAAACGAAAGTACTTAACATAAGTGTCACCTCACACACATTTTATTGTGATGAGAACATTTAAAATCTACTCTTCAATTTTCAAGCACATCATACATTACTACTAAATGTAATTACTATGTTATACAATAGACCCCTTCAACATATTCCTCTGGTCTAATTGAAGTTATGTGTCCTTTGGATAAGAATACATTGCTTCTTGAAATGAATGCATGGATGCCCGATTTTCTGGAGATCAATATATGGTTGTATCAGAATTGACTATGATATATTAATTCAAACAGCTCAATTTTTAAAAAAGCATTTCTTCCAATTCGTATTTACCAATCAGGTTTAGAAATATTGAACCAGTGTCTGGTGTTTCAATCATAGAACCAAAAGAAGACAAAGATAATTATTAAAGTGCCTTTCAGAGTGACTATTCTACATAAATACATGATGCCACATTTGGGTTGTTTTTGGGTCTGATCTTTCCGTTTTGATTTTTTGTGCAGAACAATTGTTTTTATGTCAGAATTTTAAAAAATTCATCAGAACAATTCATCAGAAAAAATCAATTCCTCAGAAAAATTACTTCCATCAATTTATCAGAAAAATCACTTACACACATAAATCTGTGATGGTTCAAATTGAAACTCATACAGTACAAAATTTATGTAGGTTCTTTGAGATCACTATTAGCCATTAGAAGATACCCAGAAAGTGGTGAAAACTATTTTGAATGATTTAATTTTCTCATTTCCTTAATTTTCTCATTTTCTTTTTTTCTAGCCCAACTCAAGAAAAGTTTAGAATAAATGGTGAATGTAGATTTTTATTCATTAATTTTATTGGTATATTTCAGGTATACAATATGATGACATTCATCATTGGGAATTTGCACCTTTACATAATCTCTCTTGGTTCTTATTTTTTTCCCATTCCCCTGCCCTTCCTTCAACCCCTCCACCCCTCCCTATTTACAAACTTTGTTTCCATTTTTTCCTTTTCTTGTATTTATTCCTTTCCCTACCTTTCCCACTTTCCCTTTGGACCTTTTGGTCCTTTTTCACATTATCTATTATACATTTTGATCCCTAGATAAATGTAGAGTTTACTTAGGAGATTTTGGAGCTACAGTTACTGTTGCATATCTGAAGTCCCATTTTCTAACTAAAAGTGGTAGAGATGGTGGCTTGTTCCCTTGGCTATAGGAGCTGCTACTAGTATAGAAGGCAGAAGAGCAGAGTGGCTAGGAACCACGTACTCTGAAGCCCAATGGTCTGGAATAGCTAATGCAAGTCCTTGTGAAGGGCGAAGAAGGTACTGTAGTTGAGTGGCAGAGATGAGTATGAGGGACAAAGAAGACATGTCCCATGCAACCGGGCAGCTGCTCAGCTTCATGTGACAGCAATTTTGCTTGGGGAATGTGAAGGCAGCCTGCTTGGTACTGTGATAAAAACAGCATGGTACTGGCAAAGAAACAGACTTGAGGACCAATGGAACAGATTAGAAGATGCAGGAACAATGCCAAACACACTCAGCCATCTCATCTTTGATAAAGGAGCCAAAACACCCTCATTGGAGGAAAGATAGCCTCCTTAATAAATGGTGCTGGAAAAATTGGGCTTCAACTTGCCAAAGATTAAAACTAGACCT